GGGCCAGGCGCCATCAGGTTACCATGATGGGCGTGCAGCTGCGAAGAGCCGCAACTAGCACCGCGACGTTCAAACCAGCGGGGCCCATGGCTGCATGGCTGACGAGTGCAGGATGATGGAGTGGCGGCGATCTGACCCCCGACGATGCGGCCGTCCGGGAAACTAGATGGAGTGCGGGTCAGGCCCAACGACGGGCGGCCCAGCTCACCCCATGGTAACGCGGTGCGGGCGTCGAAAGGGCCCAGCTAGCACCACAATGTCGAATAGGCCGAGAGATCTTCAAGAAGTCACATTCCTTCAGAGGGGTGCGAGGTCCTGACGATGGTTGGCACGACGCTGCCCCTGGCATGGGAAAGGATTCTATGGAACAGCAGAGCAGGCATCTGGCAGTCGGTGCCGCCACTGCCGCCAGCCTATACGCGCCTCCTGGACTCCTACTTCGCGGGCGGCCGCGCCACCCAACTGTCCGACCCCCCAGCGCCGCAGTGGGGGCGACTGGCCGCCCTTGTCCTGAATCCCGCAGGGAGCGCACCTGGCATCGACGGAGAACCGTGCGAGGCCTACCACCCGGGCGCCAGGTTCGTCGCTTGCCTCTTGGCGCAGGCCTTGCGCGCCGCCCACAGGGGCCCAAGGCGCCTCGAGCAGGTCCTTGGCCCCTCCGTGGACCTGCTGGTGTGGATGCTCAAGATCCCAGACGCCAAGCGCCCCAGCGACGCCCTCTTCAGCTTCCTACCTGCATGCGGCGCCTATTCGGCGCGTCCCTGGTAGACCTGCTCGGACCCCTGGTCGAGCCGCAACTCGCCCGGGACCAGGCCGCCAAGAAAGGAGGGCAGTGTGGACCCAACATTACAGCGGCCACTGACCACCTTGGCAAGACACCCAGCCTCAACCCTCCCCCAGTCGCCGCCTGGCACTATTTCCTGGGGGCCTACGGCCCGCTGGTCGACGCCTACATCAGGGGGGCGGCGGCCGGGCCCCCCCCGTCCACGGCGACGGCGGCCCTATTTGCCGACCAAAGCAAAGCGTTCGAAAGACTGTCTCTCCAATGGTTGGAGGAGCAGTTACGGCGCTGGCGACTACCCGCCTGGCTTAGACACGCCCTCATGGCCCGCGTCGAGTACAGAGACGTTCAGACGTTCAAAGGCGCCTACACCGGGCCCAGGAGACGTCTACTCCGCTTCATCGGCATGGGGGGCACCGCCTCTCCCCTGCTATGGTGCATGGCATACGACCCGATCATGGAGGCGACCGCGGCCGCCACAGGCGACAGGTGCCCCGCATACGTGGGCGACCTAGCAGCGCTCCTAACCACGGCTGAACAGGCCCTACGCACCGCCATTCTGCTCCCGTGGGCCTCGCACATGGCTGGGCCCTACATCGACGTCCACACCTGTCGAGGACTCGTGCTACCAGCAGCGCCAACCAATCTCCGCCGAGCGTGCGCATCCCTCCCCGTGCGCATCAAACAACACTCCAGCGGAGCGCCAATGGTGATAGGCCTAATTCCTGAACTGACGAGGCGGCTCCTCGCCTTCGTGCTCAGCCCTGATGGCGCTCAGGGCGCTTGGACCTGGCAGCAAGGATGCACGTGCGCGTTCGTTCAAGACCGCCCTCGTCCCATCCGCCAACCATGCCTGGTGGAAGCGCATCATGATGCACTCCCCGTTCGGGTCGTCCTGTGTCAGGCAGGTTACAATGGCCGTGCCTGGGGGCCACAGTCGTCTCACGTGCGGTCGCAGACGCAGCGCCCCCACGAGGAACCATGCCGCCAGCACAGGTTGGCGCCATGATCACTGGCACCTGGGGAAAGGCCATGGGAAAGATGCGGACCAGGGCCCCCGCGCTCTTCGACGCGCATGCCTTACCTGGCCGGCGAGCAGCGGCATGGAACGCGTACGTGGCCTCCCTGATCCCCTACCCCGCCCACTACGTTCCTCCATCCCCAACCCTCGAGACGTCCATGGAGGCCCAGTTGCGCCTCGCAGCCGGGCTCGCAGGCACTCATTGGGTACCTGACCACGTCGTCACGGGCCTGGGCTTCCTGTATCAGATCGCGGGCTGCCCCAAGTGCCCTGTGGCCCTCGCTCGCAGCACCTCGGCATTGGCGCGCGCGCGGGAAGACGCGTGGGGGCCTACACCTGCCAAGCGACGCCCCCGACCAGGTGGGAGGACAACTTAGGTGGGCAAGCGGCAGCGCCGCGCCGCCAGCCCGACCCAGGAGGGGCGCCCAAACTCTCACGCTGCCCAAGGCCGCCAGTAGCATCTCCACGCGCGCTACCCGTCCGGACCTACCGAGGGGCCGCCTCCTAGGGCGCGCGCACTACGCAGCCGCCTGGGCGCAGCAGTAAGGTACCACGGCCAACGACAGGTTCGCGGGGGTCAGCCGCCGACGCAGGTGGGCACCCGGACACTAAAGGGACTGGGATATCCTCGCGCAGGCCGCAGACTTCACCGCCGCCTACCACATTCTCAAGTTCCTCGCCAACGGTCTCTCAGGGCACGCGAGATGGCGAAGCGCCCAGGATCGGTTCCCCTGCCGGCGCAACGCCTGTCAACGCGAAGCCTGCATCGTCTGGCACACCGCCTCGTCTCACTACGGGGGTGTCGCCTGGTGTAATCGCTGCCTGGGCCACTGGGCAGGCCCCCAGGCCAAGTGGCCCCAGCTGCCACAGCGCGCCTTATCTGATCGCCTCCACGTCCTGGCAGCCAACACCCGGCGCGCCTGTGGACCGTCCCGCGCGAGGCCCGCCCCCGATCCTAGCCCATGCGGCGGCTGCCCCCATGTGGCACGGGGGAAGCCGGCAGCGAGCACCTGTGGACTTGGTGCCCGGCTGTGGTGCTGGCCTGGCTCCTGGTGTTCCCCGAATGCCCTCCAGACCTCCTCCCCGACGCCATCCTTTCCTCTGGCGACCATGCGCGGACGCTCGCTGTTTTCCTGCACCAGGTCTCCTACAGGTGCCACGTCGCACTTGGCAGACCCACTTTGGATGCAGACACTGCTGCGCAGCTCGTCCGCTCCGGCACGGTGGTCGACCGCTCGCGCGAGGCTCCCATGGACGGCGACGTGGACATCTCCGTACCAGGCGCTGACGTAGACAGCGTCTGGACGCGCCCTGACAACGCCTGCCCCGGATGTACGCCACACGGCCTACCACCCTGCCCCCTACATGGCTCCACCACCCTACACGGCGCACGGCTGGCCGACCGGGCAGGCGGCGACTGTAGGAGATTGGCAGCCGCCACGGGCACAGTCCTGCCCGGCCAACACCCCTTGCACCTCTGGTCCACCCACGCGGCCGCGGGGTGGCTTCTGGCTGGGCCCGGTTGGCTCCCGTGCCCGCGCGTCACCAGAGACGGCCCCGCTGCCCACTGGACGGGCACCTTCTGCAGGACGTGCGCAAGGCACTGCCTTATCCTCGTTGCCACCCAGCCCTTGACGCACGGACAGGAGGTCACTGTCAGCGACTCGCCCATCCCGGATCAGGACCGCGCCCAGTGGCCGTGCGAGGTCACCTTCGACGGATGGGGCCCGCTCCATCGCGGGCAGGGCGAAGGTGGCTGGAGCTGGTGCCAAACTATGGCACCGCCCGGCCTCCGGCGGGCCACCCACAAGAATCGCCTCTTGCGTGGTCGCCATTCCCGGCTCGGACAGCGCTCAAGTCGGTGAGACCACCGGCTGCCGGGCCTGCCTCGGCCTACTGGACGCCCTAGATGCGCCCACCGCTGGCGCACGCGCCGCCAGAATCGCGGGCGACAACCTCGCCGCCAGCCGATGCGGTGCCGGCGCCGGTCGATATCGGAGACTGCACCTGTGTTCACAGATGGATCAAGGTCTCCGTCCCTTGGCCGCCAAGGGACGGCGGCTCACTTGGCAGGCCGTCAGAAGACGGCTGAACAAGGCTGCGGACGCGCTCGCCGCCCTCGGTGTCTTTTGGGCCGATGGCCTCAGACAGGCGGGGCACACCGCCGCGTCCACCTGGATTGCGTGGCACCACGCACCCACCTACGACGTGCCATGCGCCTTCCCCGACCCTAGTTTAGCCGGGCTCCCCGTCCCAGACATCCCCGCAGCAATTGACGCGCTCGAGTCACGCGCCACTAGGGATAGCAAGTATAGAGGTGGTGCCTAATCCCGGCCCTGCTAAGGTCCGGGACGTTGCCCCCTGTATCCGCTACTACCTGAACGTTGGGCTTCTTTTGCCCCCCTGATTCCCCATGGTGGCCAAGGCCAAGATCGTGGCCCGTCGGCCGCGCGCGGCTCCCTGCCGTCGACAACCACTCAAGAACGCACTTGGGCGCGTCGTGTTCAAGTGCCGCGAGGCCCCCGGCATCCGCTGGACCTACATGGACGACAACAACTGCGGCGGACACTGGGGCTGGCTCTGCGACGAATGCGACCAGGCGGTCAACGACCAGCAGCACTTCACGTCCACCGAGCACATGAAGCAGCGCAGGCAGACCCAGCTCGCAAGGTATATGGAAGGAGAAGCTCCCCACGGACTCCCTGATCCCCAGCGGTTCATGATGGGAGGCGACCTTTGGAGCATGACCGAGGGCAAAGCCACGCCGGAAATCCCGCGGGTGCAGTGCCCGGGCAGGTGCTGGGACTGGGACCTCGACGACGAGATGTCCCCTATCGGTCCCTGTGTCTACGAGTCCGACTGGGGCTGGATTCCGATCGGCTTTCCTGGGTGCCACGACGGGCCAGAATACTCTCCCCCACTGGGGCTGGTAATCAACAACGACGACGTGCGATTTCTCTGGACCTAGGCCGCCAACCCCAAAGAACAGGCGAAGCAGCAGGAGCTCCGTGACGCAGGGCAAGCACTGGCCGGTTCTTTGGCCATGAGGGGTGCGTCCAGTTCCTCTGCTGGACCGTCTGACGACGCGCCGCCGCCTCCTCTCGGGCCTCCGCCCTCGGCGCAAGCAGCCCTTCCCGGGCCCCCCCCTGCAGCGCCCGTCCTCCTCGGCCGGCCCTAGCGGCTCCGGAGGCTGCCCAGGTCCATCCAGGGGCCCCGTCAAGGCCGGAACACCGGCCCCATCTTCGCCGTGGGTGCCCGTCATCGAAGAGCGGCACACGCGGCTCGCCAAGAACGTCGAGGGCATCTACAGCGTCCCCTGGTACATGGTCAAAGCAGCGCTGCGTCGCGCCCCTGCCTCGGACCCGTCCCTGGAGCAGTCCCGCTGCAGTCGGACTGGATATAGACGGCTGCAGACGTGCGGCAAGGAGCTCAGGAGAGTCTTCTTCACCGAATTCTTCGCGGACGTAGGGCCCCCCGACGACGGCGCCACAACGACCCGTCATATCATCGCCAGCAAGACCACCTGCGCTCTGGACGTGCAGGTCTTCCCCTGCTTCGCGCCTGGGGAGCGCTGCGAAGATCTCCTGGCTAAATATCAACTGCATGATCGACTCAGCGGCCGGCGACAGGGCAAAAGCGAATACTACCTGCTCCTGTGGGATAAGACGTGGGACATGGAATGGGCGGAGCGCGACATGGCATCCGGCGCCCCCAATCCCTTTCTGGTCTCTAAGGCCTGGCCGACGGTGGGCTTCTTGGCTGAGATGACCCCAGTCTGGCCCCCAGCCCCTGGCGCCAAAGTCTCGGGCACTGCCGCAGCTGCCCCTTTGGCGTGGCCCTGGTCCACTGCGACGCCAAGAAGCACGGGCCCTTCCACGACAGCGACGCCACCGTCAGGAGACCAATCCCTGGCCAACCTCACTATACAGAGTCGACCGCACCACGAGGATGGCCCAATTCAACAAGGTCAACGCCGCGATCCGGGAATTCTTCTCGGCCGGGTGCGAGAGGGCAGCCCTGTAGGGCACCGCCCTCCCACCCATCGCCTGGGCGCTCGTCTTCCGACACGAGGATCACGACGACGAGGCCGGCGCCCTGTCGGTGCCCGCGCAAGGTGCGGCAGCGGATCGACTGCTTGCGCGGGCCTCGGCCACCCTGGAACGCATGATCGACGACCCCGACCACCCTGGCGTCAGCGGACGAACGGTCGAACCGCCCCTGACACTCCAGCAGGCTGACGAGTCCCCCGGCTGCGTCTTTCAGCGGCTGCTGACTGTCCCGCGGGGGGATCACCTTAAGCGCACCTGCGACCGGCGCCGAACCAACGAAACTCAGCGTCGCTGCGTGCCTGCGACCCAGAACTCACTCCTCACCCTGTGCCACGGGCCGCCCGGCACAGGTAAGACCATGGTCGCGGCCTGCATCGCGGACGCCAACATGTTGCGCCTCGCCTCAGGATGGGGCGCGGGGTGCTTGGGCGGCACCGGCGGCTCCATGGACACCCTGGCTGAGCAGATCGGGAGGAACTTGGCTCTGGACTGCGGCGACCTGTTCCCGCACTTGGCCGTGCGCCTCGCGCGCGAGGACAAGGTGAAGGGCAGCGCCGCCATGAAGATCACCCCCGTCGCTAAGTACGCCGCAGCGTACAACGTCAAGGCGATGTCACAACCACGGACCACGCGCATTGGTTCCATAAGTTCCGGACTGAGATCGCAGCCGAGGCGAAGCTCATCCTGGCCGCGCACGAGGCGGGGGCCGACCTTTGGGACAATAAGTTCCTCATCTGCCTCCTGGACGACGCGGGTCAGACGTCCGAGCCCATGGCTATCATGTCCCTAATCCACGCCGCCCGATGCGGGGCCAGAGTTGTCCTCTTCGGCGACGAACGGCAGCTATGCCCAACGGTCAAGTCCCAGCAGGCACTGCGCTGGGGCCTCGGCATCTCCATCCTCGCCAAGTACGTGTCAGCAGTAGGAGAGGTCCCTGACTGCAACGTCACCCTGGAAGAGTGCTATCGCATCCACCCTTCCCTGCTTGCGTGGCCCTCGATCACGTTCTACGGGGGCAGGCTGGTCTCGGCCATCCTGGACCCCATGCAGCAACGCCCCTGCGCCGTGGGGCTTCGGCGGCCACGCGCAGTGCCGCTGTCCAGCGAGGAGTGCGACGCAGCAAAGAGCGAGGATAATGGATGCGGCCCCACCAACTCGCTTATCGACACCTCAGGCAAGTTCAGAAGCAAGGCGGCCTGCCCACCTGCCCCGAACACGGGAGACGGCAGCGCCGTCTTCGACCAGCACCGGTTCCTACTAGCGCACGTCCCCTCGCAAGAGGTCCAGTCCGTGCACCAGGGCGGCTGCGCCAAAATTCGCCAAGCACGCACCGTGGTAGCTCTGGTCAAGGCCCTCGTGCCCTGGGCTACACGCACCCGCAGCACTATCCTGGTGCTGTCGCCATACAAGCTGCAGCTTACCCCCGTGCTGGCAGGTAGCCCCTGCTCTTCCCAAGACATCAGGCGTTGCTCACGGACCTGAGGCGGGCGTGGGCCCAGAGGGCGAGCCTCACTTTCGAGTTGCACCACAACTCGGACGGATCTCTGCGCCAGACCCTCGCGGACCCACACGCCTTCCAGGATCGCATCCCTGACGCCGCCAACCAGGGGGAGAAGGCCTGGCTGCAGGCGGACGCTGACCGCAAGCAGAAGGAGAGGGAGGTGATCAAGGCCCGGCAAGCCCAACGGGCGGGCTTCTCGGCCCGCGCCGACCTGCCCATCCCTACGGGCCACAGCTGGTCGGACCTGGAGGAGGACGTCAACGCGGCGGTCGTGCGACCCCTGTACTGCGCGGCCTTCGGACCCTGCATTCTTTGGCGCCTCGGGCTGCGCCCGCAGCAGTTCGGCGTGGCGGACCAGCCCGCGGATCCCAGCTTGCAGGACAGGAAAGGATGGAGCATGAACGGGTACCTCTTCTTCTGCTCAGTGCTGGTGGGACTGGACGCCGGTAACTTGGTCTACGCGGCAGTCTTCGCGACCATCATGCGGGCCATCGGGCTCGGAGTCACCGGCGACGACAACGCCCAGGCCGTTGACTCCACCCTGATTCCACCAAGATGGGAGCGACCGAACATGCCGACAGCGTGGTACGTCAAGGAGGCCTGCATCCAAGCACCGCCGCCAGGCGCCGCCCCAAATACTGGAAACCAGCCACCTGCAAATGCCAGAAGCACAAGGATACACCCGCGCCAGAGGTGTTCCAGGCCTTCTGCGACATGGGCTCAGGCGGACGCTGGACCGAAGTCCTGCGCCGCCTCCTAGACAGCAGAGGCGCGACCCTGGGGGCCATCCAGGCCGGAATCCTGCTCGCCCTGTCATTACTCTTGCAGCGCGAACCGCGTGCCTGCCTGCAACCGTGCGGGGGCGCCGACAGCATCGGCGACGTGTTCGAGGCTATCCTGGGCTTGCGTGAGCCATGCCGGCCGCGCGACAGGGTTGCGCGGAACCGTCTGGGAGCACTTTTCGGGCTTCAGGCAAGGCGCTTCAAGGGGCTACATTCGGCGTTGGACCTCCTGATCTCTGCGGTGTCCCGCTTGGTCCTGGTCGCCCGCCACCGCCCCCTCGCCATCGAGGCGGGATGCCCCCGCGCCTGGAAGGACCTCGAGACCGCAAAGTTCCCGCTCCAGGCCGCCCTCGCCGTCGTCGAAGCTACTGCCCCTGCCGCCGACCTGTCGGCCCTGGTGGACCGCGAGTGCGCGGTATGCGAACTATACGTCGGCGTGCTCGGGTCCAACGTAGGCCCCACCGCGGACCCTGCAAAGCAGGCGGGCACGGTCGCCCGGATAGGCGGGGGGTAGTCCTTCGCACGCCTGCACCTGGAAGCGCCCGCCCCACTCGGGCCCCGCCCTAGAGTGACGCTAACGCCTCCCTGGATAGACGAGCGTGACACCCGGTGGGTGAAGGAGCAGAGCAAGACCGACTTCTACTGCCAGGGATGCCTCCGTGGCCCGTTCAAGCACGACAAAGGAGCGTACGTCAGCAAGCGGGTCCGCCAGGTCATCGCGGTCAACAGGCAGTTGGAGTACTACAAAGGGATGGCGCGCAAGAGCGCCAGCCCATCCCAGAGGACGTGGAATTCAAAGATTGGATCAACGATCGCCCCGACGACATGCCGGCGCGCGCCGCGCGTGCCCTGCCGGCACGTTGCCCAATGCCGGCGCCCACGGCATTCACGCCCCTGGAGCAGCTCCTGGTCCCACTGGGCGGCGAAATGAACCCGCTCAACGCGGGTGCCGCGCCGCCGGCCAGCAACGCGAACGACGACCGCCTGATCTCCCAGTTCCACGCGAGCAACGTCGGCACTTGGCGGTGCGACGGCTGCCCGCCTGGCACAGGATGGCACAGGCGGCAGCCTGGACAGCCCGCCCCTGGCATGTACGGCCACGCCGCTGACCCTGAGGGCCTCCGCGCGGGCCTAACCCTGGCCCACGGGCTTCCAGCGGTCCAGCGAAAGAAGGAGATGTGCCTGTCCAAGCGCTGGCACGCAGGCTGGTGCTGCGAAGACTGCCTGATCCACCAATGGGATATGGCCGCGTCCGCAGTGCGACGCGTGCTCGACAAGTGCGGCCCTGCGGTATACCCTGCCTGGCCACGGAGCCAAACCCCTCGCCGCGCTGCCCGGAATCCCTGCCGCCCCTGCAGGCGTCGCATTGCGCCCCAGCCAGCAGGACGTGCAACGGCGGGCTGCCGCCTGGGATGAGGAGGCGCGCGCCCGCCAGGAGCGCCTTCGCGGCGCGCCGCCGCTGGCAGACGAGCGACAGCGTCGCGCCTGGGCGCGAAGGATGACGGCCAGGGAGACGCACGTACGGGTCGTGGCACAGATGAAAGGCCAGGACGCCGGAGGCGCAGGCAGCGGCGAGGCCAAACATACAGACGCAGCTACCATCGCGGCAGCCCAGCGAGCCCCGCAGCCTGCGACCAGCAGCGGGCCCCAGCAGGACGACGCCCCCCTGACAGACGGGCGCGACACCCGTACCCCTGACCCCACATACAGCCCAAGGCCCATCAAGGACCCGCGCCTGACGCCCACCGATCAACCACCGCCCACGCCGAGCGACAGCGGGCCGGCCTCGATCCCTCCCAAGACGCACCCCACGGCTACAAATTCCGCGGGGGCCCCACCAACTGCCACCGCAATCCTTGATTCTCGCCTGGAACGCACGCATCGCACCGCGTCCCGGACAAACCCCTCCAGGCCCCCGCCCGCCCGATCACGACTGACAGCCCAGACATCGAGAGCGGCGACTACGCGGTCATCCGGAACGATGCCCCCCCCCGAGCCAGGTGGTTTATTGACGCACAAAGCACCGTGCCCCTGTTCGCGCAGCCCCTGGACGGAGCAGTATTCGGACCGATCTGCGACGTCCAGATCCGCAGGGAGGGCGGACAACGATTCCTGGTCGTCCAGCTAGGCAACGAGTGGCTTGAAATTCGGGGCGCCGGGACCAAGACGCTACGCGCCGACGTCCCGCGCGGCAATGCGGCGAACCGTGCGGCCGCCGTCCTGGATGGGGGCCTCGACAAGGCGCAGGCGCCGCAGGAGCCAGCGGCCGCTTCCAGCTCCTGGCTCGGCGCCGACCCTGGAAACGCCGCGGCGGCGTCTGCGGAAGGGGCTCGGCCCAAGTCCAGGCCCCAGTCCCGCGCTCCGCGGACGGTCGCGCGGGGCCCTGCGCACGAGCCGCCGCCGTGCGGCCGCGCCGTGGAGGAGATCCCCGACTACACCTCCGAAGACCGGGGGGAGAAACAAGCTCGGAGGCTGGCGGAGGTCGCAGGCGTAGTCCACGCGGTCTCACCCTCCCCAGACCCTGGAGCACATCGGCAGTTCCACATCGGGACGAGCCCCCGGGAGGTGCGACGCAGCAGCCCTGGACGCGACACCGACGCGCCGCGCCAGGCCCGCCAGGCCGACGAAGCCACGGGACAGGGCGAGCTCGCGGTGGCCGGCGCCGACGACCGCGCCCTGCGCGCGCGGCTCCGGACTGCGGCCGCAGGAGCCGGGCGCGCCGCGCGCGACCCCCATCCTCCGCGCGAATGCGGTCGCGCGCGCGGCAGGGGGAGTGACCCAGATCTCTGGAGCCGATGCGAGGGCGCGGCTCGGCGCCCGCCCACAGACGCCAGTGGCGGGGGCCGAGCCAGAGAGCGCGACCGCGACCGAGACCGCGATCGCGACAAGAGCGGAGGGCGGGGCTCCTGGCAGCGATGCGACGAACGCCGCAACCCTGAACGCAAGGTTGAGCGCCGCCGCCCTGGCCGCAACCGCCCCTGGGAAGACCGCCGCGTTAACTGGCCGAGACGCCCAGACGAGACGGCGGCCGCCCACCTGAAAAGGCTGACGGCCGAGGGGGGCTACTACTTCACCGCATCCTGGCACTCTTGGCGCAGACATGTGGGCCAGGAAAGGGGCAATGCCAGGGGCCAAGTCAAGTTTGACCCGTCCTGTTGGACGCCCGACATGATCGACCGCTTCCTGGAGGAAATGGCACACCGCCACTACGACGTGGGCACCTGGTACCGGAACGCGGGCGTCTACGTCGACTGGGGCCGCGAAAACACCCTGTATCAGGAGTTCCACCTGAAGCGGGAGGTGCATGGCCAAAGGCGAGGGGCGCGGAGGCGGCCAAGCACGCAGCTCTGGGTACACCGACAAGTGGACCGGGAAGCGCCCCAGGCGCTGACCTGCCCTGAACGCTCCCCCTGACGCCGCCGCCCAGAGTGCCGCACCAACCGCTCCTCCTGTCCCTGGCAGGCCTCTTGGCGCTGTGCTCCGGGTGCGAC